AGATGTTTTCATGTCTACACATGTTCAGGTCTTAGAGTTGGTTACAGGTCTACAGATATTTCCAGGTGTATAGATGTTTTCAGGTTCTACAGATGTTTTGTTGTCTCCAGATGTTCTGTCAGGTCCTGTACTCCTGTGTGGGGTTTCTGGCTGCCTCCAGCTGTTCTCTGGTCAGTGCCACTGGTCTGGCCAAGGGTCCTCTTTGTCTCTACAACTCGTCCTCTGGTCCCACCTGGGGAGTTCCCCTGCAGCCCGCCCCTGACAGGTGAGACAGATCTGTGAACCAGGCTGCTCCAGATGTTTGAGTCACTGCTGCTCACAGTGTCTCTGTGTTTTCAGACACTTGGGGTACCTGTACAACCGGACTCTGTGGTCAGGGGTCTGCGTGGAGCCACAGTGGGTGGTCCAGTGGAACGTGGTTCTGTTCGGTGTGATGGGGGCCACCAGTGCTCTGCAGGCCGTCCTCTGTGGGCTCAACGTCATGAACTCCATGCTGGGGCTGATCCTGGGTCAGGGCTTCTGTCAGAACAAGGTGAGGCAGGTCCAGATTTGGTCTGACGGGTCTTTCAGGTCTTGGAGGTTAAACTTTTCCTCTGGGTTTCAGGTCGGTCCGGTATAAGTCTGAGATGATCCGGGTCAGATCTTCATCGAAGAAACGAGCTGAAAGTTCAAGTAAATCCATGTTTTAATGGCGAGTGGTGAACTTGACGAGGTTCTGCATGGAACACGTTCCAACTCCTCACTGAAGGAACTTTCATTGACGGTCTTTGAACACATCGTGGGGGGTACATGGTTTAAGTTGTTCATAAACTAAACACACATTTTATTGTGGGAAAGGGTTCTGTTCTCATGGCAACATTTTCCATATGTTTCCAGAACCTCAGAGCAGTGTTGCCAGATAGTCGAGGTTTTCCAGCCCAAAAATCTGTTAAAAACCGCCTCATCACACAAAAACCCACCCAATCAGTATATTGTTATATTTACTGTTTGAACATGAACGCACATCAGTACAAGTCCAGGTAATTGTTTTCAAAATAAGAGTGGACATGACACACAACTGGCTGATTGATGGATGAGCCGCACGATCGGCATGGAATTTTTATTTAAAATAATTTATTTTAAATTATTTAACACCTCCTGCACCTCTGTGCAGCCCTTACTGCAGGATAAACTTCCTGCTGCAGCTGATCAGCTGTTCTCATGCAGAGCGGAGAAGTGGGCGTGGCCAAGAACACTTGCAGGTGGCTGAGAGCAGAGGAGGCAGATATATATATATATATATATTAACATTATACAACACCCCCTGTAAAGATATATTGGTGTCCATCAATGTGATTAATTAAAATCCGTTAAATGTGAACGTTAGTGCTCTTTATTCAGAAAATTCACACGTCACATTTCAGGATCTTGTTATTATAGACACAGATTAAATGTTAAATAGGATTTTTTTATATTTATCACCACAGTATCAGTGTTACACACATTAGTAGTTGTAAACACTCAAAATATTACATATGTTGGCTTAGTGCTTAAGGAGTAAACCTTTTTAATAATCATGTTAAACGTTACAAATGTTGTCTTTGGTGCCTGGTTGCTTTCCAAATATATCAGTGTGAATGACGGATTAACATAAAACACTTTGTAGAACGGTGTTTTATGAAGTTCAGTCCATTTCCATCAGTTAACCTGCAGATCTGCCACATCCAATATGGCGGACACTCTGACGTACCGCTGCAACGTGTCAGAACCATAGACATAAACAACGTATTTATGTCTATGCATTGGTGTAGTCTACATTTTTGTGGTGAGTATACTGTGCTTAGAAAGGGGAGTGGTGGTGCAGAGGTTAGAGAAGGTGGGCCTGTGATCGGAAGATCGCCGGTTCAAGCCCCGGTACCGACAACATCAAAAATGTGGGTGGGGTAGGTGAAGCACCCACACCTGCCCCCACCCTCATTCGTCCCACTCTGGGCCCTTGAGCAAGGCCCTTAACCCCCACCACCTAATACTGAAATTAATAATCTATTCTAGTGGGTATACTGAAATTAATAATCTATTCTAGTGGGTATACTCCATATACACCACCTGCTCCTCCGCGTGTCCTAGATGCAGCTCTCTGCTCCACACAGAGGCTGTGGTAGATTGGGTCTGTGGTTGCGTCAGGAAGAACATCCGGCGTAAAAATAACTGCCAAGTTCGTGCGACTTGGTTCGCTGAGGCGACCCCTGAAGAAGGAGCAGCCGAAAGAAGAAAAAAAATACTGTGCTTAGAAACCAAAGTACACCGGTTAGTACACTGTAATCGTCAATTATTTTAATTTTTAAGCATATTGAACATTTCCACATTTTTTATGCTTATATTTGAATAAATGAACAACAAACTTTGTACAACAGTTGGCTTTGTATTAAAAACATGTTATAGAATTTATAAAACAGTATCAAAGCAAAACATGTTCAAGTATTAAGTAGTAAGTACAGAAATATTAATTATACAATAACTTGCTGCATACAGACAGATTGTTACGGAAGTGTTTAACTGTCGTTTAACGTATCAATGACACGTGCCTGATGATGTCATGTGTCAGTGGGCACTTTTAACTGGGTAAACTGAAATTATTAATCTGTTCTAGTGGGTATACTGAAATTATTAATCTGTTCTAGTGGGTATACTCCGTATACCTGAGTATCACGTGGACTACAGCACTGTGTCTATGGTGAGCCCTCTCAACGAGGTGACTCTAACGAGCATAATTTATTGAGCCGCCTCACCAGTTCTCTGTTGTGAGCAACAGCCAGTCAGTGATGGAGAAAGGTTTGAACCAGTTTGATGAATGACTGGTTGAAATGTGTTTCAACAGGTTAACTCAAAAAACGCAGATATGACTCCAAATCCACCCAAGTTATCTCCACCTGCCCAAAGCTATTTTTACCCACAAAATCAGAGTGAAAACTGCCCAATCTGGCAACACTGCAGCTGAGCGTTCTGCTTCAGGGGAACCGACCCACGGTTCTCCTGACCCGGCCTCAGAACCAGGCGCTGCTCGTGAGAAACCTAATGTTTTGATTCTGTCACTGTTTTGTGTTTAAAGATAAAGTCGTTTTTCATTTTTAGTCGTCTTAAATTATTCAATACTCTGTGATCATATTTATTATTTGTTAATTTCAGTCACTCAGTGGATTTTTTAAAATGAGTTTAAAGTAAAATGTGCTCAAAGATAATTTTATCCTGTTTTTTTACATTTCTAATGTAATGATGCTCGTCATGTGATGAAGATGATGAAGTGCGGAAGCTGCAGATGTTTAACCTAAAACTGTCAGAATGTTCAATAATCATAAAAACAGACTTCTGTTTGTTTATTTGTTTGTTTGTTTATTGATGTCATAAAGTTTGTTCTAAAAGCAACAGCGTGGTTGTTTCCTCTTCACCAACACGACACGTTTGAAACTTTCAGACATTTTGGGTCAAACAGGAAGTTCTCAGACTCAGCTGTTTCAAACAACAACAGCTGTTTTTTATTTACTTGTGATAGTGGGCAGCACGGTGGCGCAACTGGTAGAGCTGCTGCCTCTCAGCGAGCAGGTCCCTGGTTCAAACCCCGGGCCAGGGGCCTTTCTGGGTGGAGTTTGCATGTTCTCTCCGTGCATGCGTGGGTTTTCTCCGGGTACTCCGGTTTCCTCCCACAGACCAAAAACATGCATGTTAGGCTGATTGGTAACTCTAAATTGTCCCTAGGTGTGAGTGAGAGAGTGAATGGTTGTTTGTCTCGTTTGTCTCTACGTGTCCCTGTGATGGACTTGCGACCCGTCCAGGGTGTACCCCGCCCCTCGCACAGTGATTGCTGGACATGGGCACCAGCGACCCCCGTGACCCAAAATGGAATAAGCGGGTAAAGATAATGGATGGCTGGTTGGATGGATCGGTGGATGGATGGATGTTGTGCAGTTTTTCACACACGTCACAAACCAAACCGTTCGGTGCTGACTTTTAGTGTTTGTAACTTTTAAACTTTGCAAATTATTTAACTTTATTTACAAATATTTTCCCAAAGTAATACATGGAAACTTTCTTCTTCTTGAAATCAGCTTTAGCTGCTCTCTGTTTGTTTGATGATGCTACGTTTAGCCTTTAGCTGTTGTTCTGATACATTCAGCATTGCACCCATCACTTTTCTCTGCCAGCTCCTCCTCTCCGGGTCACGGGGAGCTGGTGTCTGTCTTCGGCAGTCACTGAGAGGACAGGTCTCCAGTCCATCACAGACACACCTGGACAGGTCTCCAGTCCATCAAAGGGACACTTGGGGACAGTTTATCAGTCTAACATGCATGTTTTTTTGGTCTGTGGGAGGAAACCGGAGTACCTGGAGAAAACCCACGCAACACGGAGAGAACATGCAAACTCCACCCAGAAAGGAGCTGAAGCAGTGACACGAGGACAACTGTGACATAGACTGAACCCATCAGAAAGTGTCCAACAAGTCAGGTCCTCCGGACGGTTTCTGGACGTCCTGACTTGACTTGTACCGAGACACAGTGAAATTATTCGTCTGAAATATGGACGGAGTGCACGTTGCTGCTGATATCACAGAGCGGCTCTTTATTCCTTATCAGAATACTTTTACATAGAAATGGGGAAAAGGCCATGAGGGGGGAGTGGACCTAAACATTTAACTGGCAAGCTAAATATTTAGGTCCGAGCTGAATATTTAGTTAGCAAATTAAATATTTAATTTAGGAATTGAACGTTTAATTTAGAAATCAAATGTTTAGTTTTGAAAATAAATATTTAGCTTGGAAATTAAATATTTAATTTACACCTAAATATTTAGTTTATTACTAAGTATTTAGCTTGTAAATTAAATAATTAGTTTTTAAACCAAATATTTAGGTTGTAAATTAAATATTTAGTTTGTAACCAAATATTTAGATTGTAAATTAAATATTTAATTTGTAAACCAAATATTTAGCTTGTAAATTAAATATTTAGTTTGTAAACCAAATATTTAGCTTGTAAATTAAATATTTAATTTGGATCTATGACATTTATACATGTATGAATAACATGGTGAAAATATGAGTTTGAAAAAATAAAACTATTTTTTCATGAAAGGTTAAATAAACCAAAATATTGCTGTTAAGTTTTGACTGTAACTTTACAGACGGCACCCCACATGGTAGTAGCTGAGGATCATCCCTAACATACAACTCATCTTTGCCTGAAACTCTGGCGTCAACCCTTGGGTTGACCTGTTGCAACCGACAGCTGTCTGTTAGCAAAATATCTCATGAACTACTGGACACATTTTAATGAAACTTTCTGAAAGTAGCCAAAGGATGTCGTCTACAAATATTGACCTTTTTAAAGACATTCCGAATCAAGATGGCCGCCCCGCTGAGCAACATGAGCCAGCACGTGGCTCCATACACAGATACTGAGCTCAGACTTGAGTGGTAGTAGCTGAGCATCCTCCTCAACACGCAGTCTGAGTGTGGTAAGTTTGATCAACTGTACTCTGGCATGACACGCGGCGGGTGATATGCATTCCTTCACTGCTTGGCCAGCATTTATTTGCGCAGTTATCATGGTTCCGGTCCAGGTTCCGGTTCTGGACCGTCTTTATTTGTTTACTTTGTTGTGTTGTTGTTGAGAAACAGCAGTTTGTTGACCGGCTTCACTTCCTGCCTGTCTCAAGGGGCGGGGCCTGAGTGACCCCACCTGCTGCTCAGGTAAGTGCGACATAAACGTCTGAGAGGCGGAAGTGACTGTTTTCTCACATCGAGGCTCGCGCGCGGTTTGGTTCTTCTTTAGGTTCGGTTCTGTTCCGGTTCAGCTCCACAAGATGATCCAGCTGAAACTGTTCGGGCTCTGCGTCCTGTTCTGGTCCGGAACGGTTCTGGGCTGTGACTGGGACCAGTCCACGGACCCGAACCAGGCCCTGGACCCGAAGTCCCTGGAAGATGGCGCGCGCTACTTGGACCAGATGAGGGAGGTCTCGGACCCGGAGACCTGTCGGACTGCCTGCTGCGAGAACCCGGACTGCGACCTGGTTCTGGTCGGGTTCCCGGCGGACGGGGGTCGGCAGTGCATGTTGGTGAGCTGCGGGGCGCACGGGCACGACGCGTGCACGCTGCAGCAGAGCACTCAGTTCCAGGTGTTCCGGAGGAAGGAGCAGCAGGTGGCCGGGGAGAAGCTGAAGGTGGTCCCGCTGATGGAGTCCCAGGAGACCCGGAGCAACGAGACCAACAACGGTAAGACCTGATTATTGGTTATTGATCAGTGAAGGGGAGGGACCAGACTGTGGTAGGGTCTGGTTCTGTTCACTCAGAACCCTTACAGCACCAATTATCTGACCGGAAGTGGTGATGATGAGGGTGAAGGTCCTTCAGAACCAGAAACCCAAAGTTTTCCTCCTGGGAGTTGATTGATGAGCGGAGCCTCCTGATTGGCTGCAGCCTGACTTCCTGTTTACTGAGCAGAACAATCCAGTCTGACCTGTTCGCTCAGGACCACCTGAACAGGTGTTTCCTGGTTCTGTTTCCTGCTGGGCCTGTCACACTTTTCTGTCTGTTAGCAAAATATCTCATGAACCACGATGTCCATGTCCAGACGACCTGACTGAACTTTGTTGGATCTGTACCTGGATTGTTGAGCATGAACTTTGGTATCGCATAAACCGTTTTGTCAATTTCCTTGAAGCTCAGAAGGTGGATCGGTGGATCAGTGGGTGTTCAGACTGTACCGCAGAACGTTTCAGTTCCTTCCTTGTTTTTAAGTTGGTCCTGACTCTTCGCTCAGATCTGAGCTCTGTCGTTGTGACGTCATCAGACACGTCTGAGTCTGACGTGACTTCTTCATCGTCTTGATTTGATTTGAATTTAAACTTGGTGGTTCCGACAGCCGCCCGCGGAGATCGACCCGGCAACTTTGATGAATTAAGTTGATCAGATCGACTCGGTTCACAGCGGGTCCAGAACAACCGTAAAGTTTCTGTCCTGGCAGCGTCCTCGTCCACTTTGATAAAGTCCTGACCCACAGTGTTCTGTAAACAATTCATTTGAACTTTAAGTGAAAAATAAAAAATGTGTTCCTTCAGAATGTTCCCAAAGATGGCCGTCAGGTTGACCGGCCTGCGCAGCTGCTTTTCATTTTATCTACATGTTTTTTATTTAACAAAATTAATAATAACGGCATAACTTAACCCTTAAAAGAACTTGTACACCTAAAATAATATTAGACGAGGATTCTGGCTTGGAAAAAAATAAATCAAGGGCTACAGTCGGCATATTTATTTATTTACCATACTTGCCGCCGTAAACGTTGTTTCGCCGTATAAGTCGCATCTATTATGCGTCACCGCAGACAACCCGTAAATGTGGGATGTTGTGCCAAAAATCGATGGGCTGTCAAATGGCGGCTGCGGGAGCGTGCACAGGAGGACTTTAACAAGATTAACACTTTAAAAACAATTATTTGTTTGCTACACATTCTAGTAAAGGTGTGTCTCCGTTGAACTTTTACTTAATAAATGCACTTTGACGGTAAAATCAGCTGCATTTCGCCTGCGCGGTGAAATGCAGCTGATTTGATGTTTGCTCCAGGAGTTACAGAGCGAGACGAAGGTATGGCAAGCCAAGTGTCTCACTAACAGCCACTTTTACCTATTAATGAGACACTTGGCTCGCCATATTAGTCGAGGGCCCTCTAGTGGCTGAAAATGGTAGTGTTCAATATTTTCCATGTCAGAATGAATGAAATCTTCAGGTCTCAGACAAACATTGGTTATAAATATGGATAAAGCATAAATGTGTCGTTTCACTGTATAAGTCGCAGAGCATGCTAATTTATGCAAAACGTTGAGACTTATACAGCTAAAATATGGTATGTGTGCAGTATGTACTGCAAGATTTTACTCATAGAAGCTTGGTTCCAGTTCTGCAGACCTACCCTGCAGCATGAAGCCCACTGCCCTGTGCACGTGGACAATGAGCTTCAGGATTATTTGCAACTTTCCTGCCAGTTCTGTGAGCTCAATGGAGCGATCGTTACTTCTGACTTTGCATTGCAAAACTTTCCCTCCACTTCGGCAGAAAGCAGCGACTGGAAGCACTGTTGGCTTCTGGGTAGTGTAGTTTTTTGACCTGTGTTACAGTGTAGGCTTATTGAAAGAAAACTACAAAATGACGGCATCCGTCTTACATATTTTTTGTTAACTTTTTATCTGTACAATGTGTACAATCACACGCGTAATATTAAAGATGACAATCGATGAAAACTGCGAAAGAGCGAGCCCGCGAAAGTCGAACTGCGACGTAGCGAGGGACTACTGTACAACTTCGTTTTTATAGGTAAGGCAGCCATGATGAATGAGGCTGACTCTAAGAGGCTGTTTAGACCCGACATTAAAAACTTCTCTTAGCCATTGGGTCGCAAAACTGACCCGGTATATCCACAAACGTTTGGTGGTTTCCTACAACTACTTTAAAACGAGCGACAGAACGTGTAAAACCAAAATCAAACGGTAAAACAGAAGGAACTTTTTAAAGAGGTCAGGCTGTGTGAAAAGTCAGGAGTAAATGTTGTTTTTAGAAAAATTGTAGAAATGGAAGGTGAAGGAGTTCTTCTGACGTGAAGGGAAGGTCGGTACTGGGAGTTCTGGTCCCTCTGAGCCTCTTGTTAGGACCTCCAGACCACCAGGAGCAGGAATTCAGAGTCTGAACAGAACCTGTCTAGAGCCAAGCTGTCGGACCTTCTACTGACCTGAGGTGACCCCACAGACTGGATGTCTCCGAGAAATAAATGCCGTAATTTTTGCTGTATAAGTCACAGTTTTTTGCATAAATTGGTCTGCGACTTATACACTGAAGTGACTAATATGTTTTTCTCCATGTTTATAAACTGTTTGTTTGAGATCTGACGATTTCATTCATTCTGACATGGAAAATATTGAACACTACCATTTTCAGCCACTAGAGGGCCCTTGACCTATATGGCAAGCCAAGTGGTAATTAATAGGTAAAAGTGTCTATTAATGAGACTCTTGTCTTGCCATACCAATCCACCTTCGTCTCGCTCCAGAACTCCTGGAGCAAACATCAAATCAGCTTCATTTCACTGCCCAGGAGGAATGCAGCTGATTTGACCATTAAAGTGCATTTATTAAGGAAAAGTTAAATGGAGACACACCTTTACTAGAATGTGTAGCAAACAAATAATTATTTTTAAGTGTTAATCTTGTTAAATTATTGTGAAAGTCCTCCTGTGCACACTCCCGTGGACGCCATTTGGCAGCCAATCGATTTTTGGCACAACACCGGCCACATTCCCAGACGGTCAGCGGTGACGTGTAATAGACGTGGTCTATACGGCAAAGCGACTTATTGATGATGATTTCCATTTTATTAGACATTTGAACTGATGCGACGAGTACGGCGGCAAGTACGGTGTGTATGTTGTTAAAATGACGTCGGTTTAAGAGTTTAGAACATTGCAAGAGTGTGGAAGGGTTTATAAAGACAAAATATATATAAATACAAAAATAACTATAGCGTTGCTACTTTGCGGTTTTTCACCCATCGTGGGGGTGTCTGGACCCCCCCCCCCCCCCCCCCGGATAAACGAGGGACTACTGTAATTCGGTCCATTTTATGGATGTTGAGCTGAAATCTAGTGTGGTAGTAGCTGAGAGTAGTCCTCGACAGCTGATCAGAGGTTCTTTGTCAGAAACAGATGTTTGATTAATTTTGGTCTTTTCACTCCGACTCCTCCAAACCTTCTTCTTGTTGAGGCTCCACCTTCTCAGTCTTTGTCTCGTCAGTCTTGTCTCCAAAAGACATTCGTCTTGTCCACGTGGCCGGCTGCAGGTTTCAGTCCAGCTCTATGGTTTTGGAGGCGGAGCTTCTTTCTTGGTCCTCTCAGTCTGTGGGTTGTAGCTCTGAACGTCTGACCCAGTTTTCTCCCCTACAGGGAGTTAATGGGCCTGTTGAGTTTAGACCTTCTACCTTCAGCACCTCCCATTAACAGATTTAGGCGGACATATTTGACCCAGTGTAGATCAGAGATAATTAAAAATTAATTTAAACATTATAAATTACTAACAAAAAAGGTTGAATCATGTCATCTGGAATTCGTTTTTTTGTTAAAAAGAAACGTTTCGCCCCTCATCCAAGAGGCTTCGTCAGTCTGAGGCCTAGCCATCTGGTATTACCCAGAAGCCACCCTGACTCTTGTGTTTCAAGCCTGCCTCAGATACCCCTGAAGTCTGGCCTTTTCACTAATGGTTTCAAAAACACAAAGTTTGTTTTCTCAGTCATCCAGGTATATAACAACAAAAAA